ACAGGAAGGGGGGGAGGCAGGAGGAGAGGCCTGGACCCAGAGCCACATTGGGGCTCTGTGGCGCTCTGCACCTCTGATGCCGGGCCGGGCCGGGCCGGACGGAGTTGCAGGGGGGGGCCGGGGAGGCGGCGTGGGTGGCCCCCTGCCAGGCCGGAGCGAGGAGGCTGTCTGTCTGCAGCAGGAGAACGCCATCCAGACGATGGAGCTGCGGAACCACTTCTCGCTGTTCTGCCTGCACCAGGAGACGCAGCTGGTCCACGCCTACCTGCCGCTCACCTCCCACATCCTGGGGGCCTTTGTCAGCTCCCAGATCCAGGGTCACAAGGAGGTGGGCTCCCGCACCGCCCGCTCGGCCCCCGACCCTGGAGCTCCTTCGGACGTCGGCGGGAGAGCCAGGGCTTAGACGTGGGCACATCGCCTGCCTCGTGGGCAGGGGTGCTGCTGAGGCCGTGCTGACGCCGGGGCAGGGGCGAGGGGGAGCGGAGCAGGACACGGGAACAGCCCTGCCTCCTGGGGGACACCAGGAGCCATAGTGCAGGTCCCAGACCTGAGGCGGGCGTGAGGGTGAGGAGGGGCACCTGTGGGGCATCCCAGCTCTCGGCCACCCCCAGGTGGGCCCCTGAGCTTGTGGGAGATGGGGTGCCCGGCGGCGTGGAGGCTGCGGCCACACCTGCTGGTCCCAGTGACCCAGTGCCACCGGCCCTCGCTCCGTCCGCCTGCGGCCCCCTGCCCTCGGTGGCCCGGGTCTTTGCCTGGCCGGGGCTGGAGAAGCCGAGGAGCTGGCCGCTGCAGTCCACAGCCCTGCTTCTGTCCTGGGTCTTTCCACGCCCCTTGTTAGCCCTGGGGCGCAGCCTCCTCCTAAGCGGGTGCATCTGCCGGCCCCCCAGCTCCTTGGCTCTGCACGGGTCTGAGGCTCGGGATTGCTGAGACCCTGACCCTGAACTCTGCCCGCATGGCGTGCTCAGGCCTTGGTGGGCCGATACTCCTGTGGTGCCGAGTTCCTACCCAAACGAGGGCGCTCGGGGCTGGGCCATGTGCAGCCACCTGGACTCGGTGTTTCTGCCTCCCCGGGGCGCTGCAGGCCGGTGGGCAGGCCGCAGGCCCTTCCTCCCTCCTGTCTCATCGCCTGTGTGGTCCCCGGAGGAGGCTGTGCCCGTGTCGGCTTAGAGAGCACTGGAGAGGACACAGTGCTTCCTAACTCCCCGTGACCAGCAGACTGCGTCCTCAGTCCTGTGTGCAGGGGCCAGGGACTGGCCACCCGCACCTCTGGCTTTGGGCCATCCCTCATGTGGGCTTTGTGGAGGAACGGGCGGCGACACAGGGAGTGGGGAGGGCAGCCCTGGGCAGGGGACATGCCCAGTGGTGGCATGTCCCCTCCCCCGGCACCTGGGGAGAGCGGGGCGCTGGGCGGTGCGGCCGGCTGACCCTGTGCCCTCCCGCAGATGAGTAAGGTGTGGAACGACCTGAAGCCCAAGCTGCACTGCCTGTTCTCGGGACCTGCCAGCGCCCTGACCCCGCCTCGGTCCCCGCGGGATGGCCTGTCTCCTCACTAGTGCCGAGGACCGTGCCCCCACTGAAACCTCTTTCCACGGTGTGTCCTGTTTAATTCCGTCCGCGTGGCGGCCGGGGCCAGGTGCCGTGGGAGCAGGGCCGGGACAGGCCCAGGTCTGAGCGTCTGCTGAAGCTGAGGCACGAGGGGTCTGCTGGGAGTCACGCCATGTGTCCCGGCCCCAGCACTGGGCCTTAGTCTGGGGGTGGGAGAGTTCAGATGCCCTGGAGTGGTTTTCTCCCGGCAGGTGGTGCCTGGGTGTGTGCAGAGACCCCGTGTGCAGTGACAGTGAGATGATGGGCTGCATTAGCTGAGCAGAGGGGAGGTGGTACCCACGGAGGGCAGGCCTGGCTCTGCAGCCCGCACACCCTGTGGTCAGTCGGCAGCCTGGGCGGGTGGCCGTGCGAGAGCGTTTGAGCTACAGCAGGAGCCAGAAGGGGTCCGTGGCGCAAACTGTTTCCTGGGGACAAGCCCAGCGCGGGGCCCTGGTCTGGGGTTGGCCTGCAGGCAGTGTCCTGGTCCCCCCTGCACAGGCCCACCCCCGTACCACTGACTGCAGTGCTGAGGCTGTGCTGTCTGCTTGGTGCCCGGGGCCGCTCTGTCCTTTTTGGGGGTTGATGCCGTTTTGGTGCTTGGGGAGGAGCGAGGAGGGAGGCAGGTGCTGTTGTGGTGGAGGCGGTGGACCAGGGTCTGTTGCTGTGGTTAACCCTTCAAACCACATCACTGCTTTGAGGACTAGAACTCCTCACCCCCCTGCTCTCCCTTAGGGCCCAGGGGATGATTCCTCCCCCCCCCCCCCCCCCCCCCCCCCGGGCCCAGGGGATGGTGTCCGGCAGATCTGGGTGCGAGTGGTACTTTGTGCCTCGTGTGTCTGTGAACAGCAGACGGGACCCCGCGGGGCAGGCACTGGAGGCGGCTCTGGCTGATCACAGCATCGTGGGGAGCCCGCCTTCCGGGGCGCCTGCCTGACTCGGGTTTCTCATCTGCTGTAGCCTCACTTCCTCGTGGCGTGTGGACTGACCGGAGGGGAGGCTCCGAGGACCGCGGCGGGAGAGGGGCTGCCCACGCTGGACTGTCCACTCCCTCCCGTGCCCAGCTCCCCCAGCAGCAACCAGACACTCGGCACCACTGGGCTCAGACACGGCGCTGGAGGCGTGCGGACTCGCTGACGCTGAGGGCGGTCTGCAGCGGCCCCTCCTGCGTTAGCCGGCAAGGGAAGCACTTTACGGCCTGAATCAGTGACTGCCACAGCCAGCTGGAGTGTTTACAGACGGCCCACATTCCCAGGTTTTCGCCACGAAACGAACGTGGAAACTGTTATTAAACGTATTTATACAAGTTGGTGAGGCTGTTTGTGAGCGGGGGGCGCCCCTCCTCTCGGGTGAAGGGAGGGTGACCAGCCTGGGGCAGTTTAGACCAGGGCTTAGCCTTGGCCCTGACTGTGCCCGGGTTTCCCCGCACAAAGGAAGGGTCTCAGTGTGGTGAGGACCTGCCGCCTGCCCACCTCCATGCCCCCAGCGAGCCTGCAGCACCAAGCCCATTAGCACCCCCCGCAGGCCCACGGTCCCAGCGCGGTCCGCCGAGTCTCCCGCTGTCTGCCCACGGGGGCAGTCACGGCCAAGCGTGCCTGCTGGCGTCCCGAGCACCGGCCTGCTGAGAACTGAGGGTGAAAGACATTTATTTCCCTTCCCATCCGCTCACATTCCACACACACAGCCCGGGCCTGGTTCTGCTTGGTGCCGCAGCTACTCTGTCCTTTTTGGGAGTTGATGCCCCCTTTTTGGTGCTTGGGCCGGAGGAGCGAAGGCCGGGACGGGCGGGCGGGGCCGTGGTCCTGCCTACACCGTGTCCACCTCGCGCAGCCTGTAGTCCAGGATGGTGTCGTGGCCCTGGAACTTGAAGTAGCCCTGGAACTTCCTCTTCTGGAGCAGGAGGGGGAACCAGTAGCTGTCATCCGGCCACATGTGGGCGAAGGGGATCTGGTCCAGGGGGAACCACTGAGGCCGCATTTCTGTGGGCGAGAGAGCACGGGTTCCAACTGACGGCACCACCCCTGGGATCCTGGGCTGTGGTGTCGGAGTGGGAAGGGGTCGGAGTGGGAAGGGGTCGGTGGATCCTGGGCTGTGGTGTCGGAGTGGGAAGGGGTCGGAGTGGGAAGGGGTCGGTGGATCCTGGGCTGTGGTGTAGTGGAAGGGGTGGGTGGGTCCTGGGCTGTGGTGTCGGAGTGGGAAGGGGTCGGAGTGGGAAGGGGTGGGTGGGGCCTGGGCTGTGGTGTCGGACTCACCCTCGCTCTCCGTGGGCGTCCCCTGCACGCTGTCCGTGCAGAAGATGTGCACGTCCATCAGCTCGGGCTCCCCCACGAACTCGAACGTGATGTGGCCCGCCTTGTGCAGCGCGTCCACAGTGACCCCACACTCCTCCTGCAGCTCCCTGTGGGCGTGGAAGGCGACAGCTGGAGCCCCTGCCGGCCCTCAGAGCCCCAGCACAGTGCCGGGGGACCGAGAGCGACAGTATTTTTTTAAAATGAATTCTTTAAGTATTTAAATTCCTTTAAAAAAATTTTTTTTATTAACTTTAGAGAGGGAGAGAGAGAAACATCGACGAGAGAGAAGCACTAATCAGCTGCCTCCTGCACGCCCCACACTGGGGATCAAGCTTACAACCCGGGCATGTGCCCTTGACCAGAATCAAACTTGAGACCCTTACATCTACAGGCAGATGCTCTACTCACTGAGCCACACCAGCTAGGGCCAGAGTATTTGTGCCCGGAAGGGAAATGAGTCCACTGGACCAGAGGGGCGGGGGTCAGGGCAGTGAGGGGCACTGGTTCGGGTGCAGACTCACTGTGGACCTTGTGGCTGCCCAGGCCTGCAGAGGTCAGCTGCTTGGCTGTCTCCCGGGAGAAGGATGGTAGAGCTGGGAACCCCCACCCATCTGCGGCTCCTGCTCCCCAGGGGCTATAGGCCTCGGGAACCTGGGTCCTGAACCGAAGCCTTTCCGCCAGAGTCTTCCCTCCCTCCCTCCCTCCCTCCCTCCCACCTTCCCGCGCAGAGTGCGGTCCCAGCAAGGGGACCCTCCACCCTCTGGGCCTGGAGCTTTGGGCCTGTCCTCAGGGCTGCTGCTCAGCGGGGGTGAGGTCAGCACAGTCAGGAAGGCCCGGCCGTGTTCCCAGCTGCTGACTGCAGACACCCTGGCCATAGCCCCGGACGCCTCACCCGGAGCCTTGCAGCCCGGCCGCGTTTCCCTCCCAACAGCCCGCAAGGAGCTGCGCGGCATCGTCACCCTCTGTACCCGTTACACACCGCAGAGTGGCTCGGCCTCCACTCCAGCCGGCTTCCCAGCCGCTGTTAACGGAGACACAGCTTCCTCCTGCTTTTCACCCACCTGTGGCACACCTCATGCCGATCCCCGACAAACTGGTCCCGCCAGCTCCGCGGCTGGCGGCCATCACCGGCAGGCAGGGCCAGGTCCGTGCCGGGGACTCGGGCTGCCGCCGCGACCCCGAAACATGGAGTCTGAACCTCCCTTTAGAGCAGCAGTTCTCGACCTGTGGGTCGCGACCCCTGTGGGGGTCGAACGACCCTTTCACAGGGGTCGCCTGAGACGGTCGGAAAACACAGGTATTTACGTCACAACTCCTAACAGGAGCAAAATGACAGTTATGAAGCGGCACCAGAAATAACTTTATGGTTGGGGGTCACCACCACATGAGGAGCTGTATTAAAGGATTGCTGTATCAGGAAGGGTGAGGGCCACTGGTTTAGAAATCTGCCTCCCCACTGCCATTTACTTGTTTCTATAAAAACGTTCTGGGTACGACACTCAGCCACCTGAGCCGCCTGGCCAGGGCCAGCTGTTATTCCCATTTTGCAGATGAAGACACTGAGGCTTGAGGGTTAAGCACCTGCTCCAGGTCACACGGCTCAAAGGGGTGAAACCAGGGGTCTGGCTCTACAGCCGGAACCCGCATCCCCTGCGAAGCCGGGCCTGTGCTCAGGCCCAGCCTCCCTCACCTCTTGGCCCCGTCCTCGATGGTCTCTCCCTCGTGCACTTTGCCCCCGAAGCCGTTCCAGCGGCCGGCCCCGAAGCCCCGCTTCTTCATGCCCAGCAGCACGCGCTGAGGCTGCAGCACCAGCACCAAGGTGTAGAGCCGGGAGGCGCCCATGGTCCCTGGGCTCTAGGAGGAAGCAAGGCTGGCTGGCTTGACTTGGCGCTGACGGGTGTGTCTGGGGCAGGTGGGCTGTGGGGGCGGGGCGGGGCGGGGGCAGGTGGAGCAGAAGTGCGCTCTGGAAGGCAGGGATGGGAGCCTGCAGGAGATCCCAGCTCTGCAGGGCCTGTCAAGGAGCACACGGTCTGGGCCACCACGGGCCTGGCCTTCAGAGCCTGAGGCAGCAGGAGCAGAGAGGGACACACCTTCCCTCCCCTGCCCCAGCCCAGGCCCCGCCCCAGGCCCCACCTGAGCCCAGGGCCCGCCCCAGCCTAGGCCGCACCTACCCAAACCCCGCCCACATCCCTGGCCCCGCCCCCACTGAGCCCAGGCGCCCCCAGAGCCAGACCCCGCCCCCAGCCCGGGCCCCGCCCCCAGCTCAGGCCCCACTGAGCCCAGGCCCCGCCGGCGCCCAGCTCCTCCGCACAAGGAGGGCACATCCAACCGGTGTGGCTCAGCAGTTGAGCATCGACCTAGGAACCGGGAGGTCACAGTCCAATTCCCGGTCGGAGCACAGGCCCGGGTTGCGGGCTCCATCCCCACGGGGTGTGCAAGAGGCAGCTGATCGATGATTCTCTCTCATCGCTGTTTCTAACTCTCTATCCCTCTCCTCCTCTCTGTACAAAATCAATAAAATATATTTAAAAAATTCCCGGTCGGGGCACAGGCCCGGGTTGCGGGCTCTATCCCCAGTGGGGGGCGTGCAGGAGGCAGCCGATCCACGGTTCTCTCGCTGATGTTGTTCCCTTCCTTCCTCTCTGAGACAAAAAGCACATTAAAAAGGCGGGAGGCTAGCACCAGCCTGCCCCGTGGCGGCGGCCCCGCTCCGGGTGCACGGCGCCCCCTGGCCCGCTCCCCGCTCACCTGCGGGCTCCTCGCGCTTTCAAGCCCGCGCGCTGCTTCCGGGGGCGTGGCCTCCGGCGGAAGCGGAGCCGGCACTTCCGGCGGCGGAGCGGGCTGGCGCCCATGGCGGGGTGAGCGGCGGGCGGCGGGCGGCGGGCAGCTATGCGGCGCCTGCTGCCTGCGCGCAGGAGGCGGGAGCGGCCGCGCCGCACGGGGTCCTCCTCCGGCCGGACCGCCTCCGTCTCCCTCCTCCTGGCCCGGATCGTCCGCCCGGCGATGGGGCTGCGGACTCCACGGCGGGCAGAGAGCGGGGCAGGGTTTTAGGAGCAGGAGGGTCAGGTGGGGGGGCCCTGCAGGTGGGGGGGCCTGCATGTGGGGGGCCTGCATGTGGGGGGCCTGCAGGTGGGGGGTCCCGGCAGGTGAGGGGTCCCGGCAGGTGAGGGGGCCCGCAGGTGAGAGGGGCCCCGCAGGTGAGGGGGGCCCCGCAGGTGAGGGGGCCCTGCAGGTGGGGGGGCCCCTTAAGTGAGGGGCCTGCAGGTGGGGGGCCTGCAGGTGAGGGGGGCCCCGCAGGCGGAGGTGACGCTGGTGGACAGCGCCCGGGCTCCCAGGCTGTGGCACAGGCTTCTGAGAAAGGAAAGGCTGCTGTGGCCGCATCCGGGATGTGGATGGGGTTGGAGGAGGTCAGCGGTCAGCTGCCCAAATCTGGGGGATGTGTTTGTGTAACTCCCTTCTCCGCCCCCCTCCTGGGATTGGTTCTGGCCCCAGGACCCCCCTCCCTGAGGCTGTGGCCCTTGAAGGCGTGATTCCCGTGTTACTGTCTTCAGATCCTGTCCACATGCGATGGTGTTGAACAGGCTTGGGCTGGAGCCTGGGGATAATGATAGCTTTTTTTTTTTTTTTTCATCTTTAGAAAAATAATAATAAAAGTGTAGAACCTATTTTGTAGGTCTGAGAGTTAAATGAAGAGTCTTGGCAGTTGCTAACTTTTGAAACCTAACTTTTCCTAAGAGCCTGGGAGCTTGTCCTTAAACTGCTCCACCAGTTGATTCAGTTTTGTTAAGAAATGTGGCTGGTCAGGCATTGCTCAGTGGTTGAGCTTTGACCTATGAACCGGGAGGTCACCTCTTCGTTCCTATCAGGGCTTGCAGTCTTAATCCCCAGTAGGGGGCGCACAGGAGGCAGCCGATGGATGATTCTCATCATCAATGTTTCTATCCCTCCCTCCCTCCCTCTCTGAAGTCAATAAAGATACATTAAAGGAAAGAAAGAAATGTGAAGGCCAGGATCTCTAGCCTCCGAACTTGCTTACAGGGAACCGAGTAGCCAGGCAAAGACTATCTCCTGGGGCTCTCCCCGTCTCGCCGTCTGGCGAACAGCTGTCCCTCTGTGCCTGGGTGTCCTAACTCAGGGACACCAGTCCTATGGGATTTGGACTCACCCATATGTCTTCACTTTCACTTAATTCCTTCTTTAAAGACCAGTTCACTTTGAGGTGTTCGGGGTGGGGCCTGCAAATAAATTGTGGGCCCTAACCGATGTGGCTCAGTGGATAGAGTGTTGGCCTGCGGACTGAAAGGTCCCAGGTTGGATTCCGGTCAAGGGCATGTACTTTGGTTGCAGGCACATCCCCAGTAGAAGGTGTGCAGGAGGCAGCTGATCGATGTTTCTAACTCTATCCCTTTCCTTTCCTCTCTGTAAAAAATCAATAAAATATATTAAAAAAATAAGTTGTGGGAGTCACAGGTCAGCACATAATCCTGCTTTCTGACTGGCTGTTAGATTTCCTTCCCTCTTGGGCCCCGGGGTGCTCTCTGACTGCACAGCTTGCACCGGGGCCCACCGGGCTCGGGACTAGTGGACGCAGATGCCAACCGCTGCCCCTTTCCCTCGCCAGGTGCGGCAGGCTGGCGTGTGTGTCCCTGCCACGCCACGGGCTCCACACGGCGGCCAGGCTCTGCAAGGCCCGCACGGGCGCCGAGCACCAGTGGCTGACGCGCCACCTGAAGGACCCGTTCGTGAAGGCGGCGAGGGTGGAGAGCTACCGGTGCCGCAGCGCCTTCAAGCTTCTGGAGATGGACGCGAGGCACCGGATCCTGCAGCCTGGCCTCCGGGTGTTAGACTGCGGGGCGGCCCCCGGCGCCTGGAGCCAGGTGGCGGTGCAGAGGGTCAACGCCGCGGGCGCAGGTGGGTCTCATCTCCGGCAGCTCGGGGCCCGAGGCCCAGCACCCAGCCGCCGAGCTGCTTTCTGAAGATGGGGGTTTGGTAATAACAACAACGGTAAAGATGGGACACGGACATTTCCAGAAGGAAAGGCACAGTGACGATTAAAAGCCCCTCAGGTCACACCGTGCTCGTATGTGGGTTGCTCACCGTTAGGATTTTTTTGCACACCAACGCTGTTCTCGTTCTTATCAGAACGCGCTTCCATCACGGCCCGCTTGTTGCCGAGGAGCCGAAACAGCCTTTTTGTGCTGAACGGCAGCGCTGTCTCTGACTGCATCCGGGTTCTGGGTCCTGGCTGCCGAGGCTCTGTCCCTCCCCAAGGTCTCGCTGGGGCTGCTCCGTTCGCACAGCTGGGGCTCTGACTCCAACTCAGGCCCAACCCGAGGGGCGCAGCTTTTATCTTTCATACTTTAGGGTTTTGTCAAAGGTTTTTGTTTGTTTGTTTGTTTGTTTTTTTAAATCCTCACCCAACGTTATGCTTATTGAATTTAGAGAGAAGAGATTGGGGGGCGAAGGAGAGACATCGATATGAGAGAGAACATTGATTGGCTGCCTTCTGCCCATATCCCAACCAAGGTTCGAACCCACAACATGGGTATGTACCCTGGCTGGGAATCGAACCTGCAGCCTTTCCATGTATGGGATGGCACTCCAACCAGCTGAGCCATACCAGCCTGGCTGTAAAGGTGTATGTGTGTGTGTGTGTGTGTGTGTGTGTGTGTGTGTGTGTTTTCTTTTTTTAATATGAAAAAGGTTCCCCTGATTAATAAACAGGTAAACCAACACCCATACAACGTAGAAAGCGACGTCATCCTTTCGAACAGGTGCTGGGGGCCGTCCCTGCGTCTAGGGCATCGGGTCTGCGCTGCAGTGAGCCTTCTCGCCACCTGTATCCCCGCCGTGGCACCTGAGGGCCCTGCGTGCGCTGGCGTTCCATGACAGTTGTGACAGTTCACAAGCATCTCTCCCAGGCACCTTAGAGGGGACATTTGTGCCCATTTTCTGCACGAGAAAACTGAGGTAGAGGGGTGGAGTGACCCCCGAAAGGTATAGCATTGGGCCTGCTTGCTTCATTCAGCATCCCCGCCACATGGCTGGCGGGGGCGCTGTAGGGCTTGAGAATTGGCATAAAAACATTGTTTTTCGCTCCAATGCTTGTTGACTGAGGGACTGGACATGGGACAGAAACTTCCCTGGCACCGCTGTGGAGGAGCAGGGGGCCACGGTGAACTTAGGGAGAAGTGGAAGCAGAGTGGGGGGAAACGGCTTGCTTCTCTTTCTCCCAGAAGTTGCCCAGCTGCACCCCAAGCGATTTGCCCCGAGTGGGCTCTTCCTGAGGTTGTAAGGAAGGGGATGCTCCAGGAGAGCACCGTACAGGGGCAGCCGCCTCAGGAAACCGGACCTGGGCAGGGTACCGATTTTGGACCTTATTTTAGATCCGCCTTTCCCTCATAGCTCAGCTTTTTCTTAATGGAAAGAATTTAGATGAAGCTACAGACTGACTTGTTGGTTTAACCCAGAGGCACTTTATATGCTAGTGCCGTGGTCGGCAAACCGAGGCTCATGAGCCACACGCGGTTCTTTGGCCCCTTGAGTGTGGCTCTTCCACAAAACACCACGGATTGGGTGGGTCTATTTTGAAGAAGTGGCCTTAGAAGAAGTTTAAGTTTGAAAAATTTGGCTCTCCAGCTGAAACCAATTTGGCTCAGTGGATAGAGTGTCGGCCTGCAGACTGAAAGGTCCCAGGTTCGATTCCGGTCAAGGGCATGTACCTTGGTTGCGGGCACATCCCCAGTAGGGGGTGTGCAAGAGGCAGCTGATAGATGATTCTCTCTCATCGATGTTTCTAGCTCTCTATCCCTCCCTCTTCCTCTCTGTAAAGAGTCAATAGAATATATTTAAAAAAATAAAAAATTTGGCTCTCCAGAGAAATTTCAATCGTTGTATTGTTGATATTTGGCTCTGTTAACTAATGAGTTTGCCAACCACTGTGCTAGTGTAACAGTTTCTGTTTCAGCTCATCAGGTGAGCAGGCTCAGGGGAGAAATGAAATGAAATGAAATCAGCTGGAGATGAGTCTGGGGCGGGGCCCCTGGTCTGCCTCTGACTCTGGGACTGCACTGAGCCTCTCTGGGCCTCCGCTTTCTCCGATGTAGTGTGAAGCACCACAACTCCCCACGTATGTCCTCGCAGGATGTAGAGGGGGAAGGCCCGTGTCCGCCTGCCTGCACATTAGCTCTTCCTCGGTCCTGTTTCATGGCTGTGGCATGTATTTGGGGGGAGAGTCAGGGTGTAATAACTCATCCCGTTTCTTCCTTAGATCCCAGCAGTCCCGTGGGCTTTGTGCTCGGGGTCGATCTTCTTCACATCGCACCCCTGGGAGGGGCGACCTTCTTGTGCCCCGCGGACGTGACTGACCCCGAGACCTGGCAGAGAGTCCGAGAACTGCTTCCTGGCGGGAGAGCTGACGTGATTCTGAGTGACATGGCCCCCAACGCCACCGGGATCCGGGGCCTGGACCACGACCGGCTCATTGGCCTGTGCCTGTCGCTCCTGGACGTGGCTCCCCACGTGCTGTGTCCCGGGGGGACGTTCCTCTGTAAGACCTGGGCTGGAAGTCTAAGCCACCGGTTACAGAAGCGACTGACCGAGGAATTCCAGGGCATGAGGACCCTGAAGCCAGAAGCCAGCAGGAAGGAGTCCTCGGAGGTGTACCTCCTGGCCACACAGTACCGCCGCGCCGCGGGGCCTGGGCGGGCCTGAGCGTTCTCCTCCGTTCACGGCCCTGCTCGCCCACCGTCGCTGCGTGTGGCTGCGAGGCCTCGGCCTGACCTGGGAGGCAGCAGGCAGGACAGTGGGGACCTCTTTTTACACCGAGAAGATGACGAGCTGTGTTCAGTGGCCATGATAACAAGCCGTCTGTCCGTGATTTGGGAAGATGAAAGTTATGAAGTTATCAGGAGAGAGGGACAAGATGAAAGGATGAGCAGACGCGCTGGGGAGGGAAGGAGAGACCCTGAGGCAGCGCCCGAGAGGCAGGCCCCTGCTTCGTGCTCGCCTCAAAGGCGAGGGAGCTACCCAGAAACAGGCTCCACCTTTGCTCCGGGAACAGCAAGCATGTTTCCAGTTGAGATTTTGGCTCTACAGCATAATGAGAAAAATCTGAAATTTCAGTCTGGGGATTAATTTCCATGTCTGGTGAATGATCTACAGATACTTCCACTCTTCAAGCAGCGAGAATTCCCGGAGCAATTAGGGGAGACATTTCGTATGAATTTATGCGTGGGGTGGGTGTGCTCTGGGCTTTGCTGGAAATACATTGCTGTAATATCCCGGGCTCCCTAGACAGTAAAGGTAATTACCAAAGCAAGCAACAGTGTGTGTTATTTCCCTTTCTCCTCCAGGGATTGCTGCCGCTTTATAAACAGATAGGTTGTATTACTTGAAGGGATTTCCATGCTTTTAAGTTTGCCTTTAAAAAAATATATATTTTATTGATTTTTTACAGAGAGGAAGGGAGAGGGATAGGAAGCTAGAAACATCGATGAGAGAGAATCATCTATCAGCTGCCTTCTGCACACCCCCTACTGGGGATGTACCTGCAACCAATGTACATGCCCTTGCCGGGAATCGAACCTGGGACCTTTCAGTCTGTAGACGGACGCTCTATCCTCTGAGCCAAACCGGTTTTGGCTATATATATATATTTATTGATTTCAGAGAGGAAGGGGAGGGAGAGAGAGAAACATCCATGAGGAGAATCATGGATCGGCTGCCTCCTGCACGCCCGCCCCACATGGGGGATTGAGCCCACAACGTGGGCCTGTGCCCTCGACGGGAATCCACACCAGCCAGGGCTTAAGTTTGCTTTTGAAAACCGGTTACTGGTTCTTCAAAGCCATTCCTGGAGGTGCTCGCCCCCGTTTGCTGACTGCGGAGAGATGATTGGGTCCCGGGGGTCTCACGGGGTCCTTGGCGGAGCCCAGCTGCCTGAGGGGAGCCGCGGGCTGGGGTTAGGCTTCACCCCATTTCCGTTGGGTGGTCGGCTGTTAGGTCCGGGACCCTCCCCGCTAGTTCCATCCGCGCTCCCCCCACCTTCTCCCGGGCCGGTCACGTCGGGGTCAGGTTTCACCCTCGGGGAGGGGAACAGCCCACACCGGGGCCGTCACTCCGGCGGGGCGGGGCCCCTCCGACGCTCCCAGGGCCCCGCGGAGGGGAGGCCGGGGCTCAGGGAGACCTGGACCGCCCGGTGTGGGAGCAGCGGGCGCCCCGTCTGGCCCTGCGGGCGGTTCCACACACGGTGCGGGCAGCCGCCGGCCTGCGTGGGGCGGGGTGTCCGCACGGTCCGGGCCTTGCGGCGGCCCCGGCCCCGGCCCTGGGGGAGCGGAAGCGGGAGCAGCGGCGGCCCCGGGGGGCGGGAGGGAGAGGGGGCAGCGGCGGCCCCGGGGGGGGGGGCGGGAGCGGGAGCAGCGGCGGCCCGGTGTGTGGGGGTGTGTGGAGGGGGCAGCGGGCGCAGCCGCTCGCGGAGCCGGGACCGCCGCCGCGCACCCGGCAGCTGCCGGCCAGCCCCACCGGATCTCGCGAGAGCGCAGCCGCAGATCTCGCGAGAGCGCAGGCGCAGAGGAGGGAGATCTGAGCGGGGACTGCGAGCCGGCCGGGCCGTGAGGTGGGTGCGGGCCGGGCGGTGAGGTGGGTGCGGGCCGGGCGGTGAGGTGGGTGCGGGCCGGGCGGTGAGGTGGGTGCGGGGCCGGGCGGTGAGGTGGGTGCGGGGCCGGGCGGTGAGGTGGGTGCGGGCCGGGCGGTGAGGTGGGTGCGGGCCGGGCGGTGAGGTGGGTGCGGGGCCGGGCGGTGAGGTGGGTGCGGGCCGGGCGGTGAGGTGGGTGCGGGGCCGGGCGGTGAGGTGGGTGCGGGCCGGGCCGGGCTGAGGGGGCGGCCTGGGGCCGGGGGAGCCCGGGGTCGGCGTCGGGGCAGGGCTGCCCGCTGAGGCCGAGGCTGGTTGCCGCCCCTCCGGCCGCGGGCTCTGACCCGGCGACCCCCGGCGCCCGCTCCCGGCCCTGTCCTTCCGGCCCTGATGCCCTCCTCGCCCTCTCTGTCCCCCTCCTGAGTCCCCCACCCCCTCCTCAGTCCCCGCACCCCCTCCTCAGCCCCTCTCTGTCCCCTCCTCAGTCCCCGCACCCCCTCCTCAGCCCCTTTCTGTCCCCTCCTCAGTCCCTCTCTGTCCCCTCCTCAGTCCCGGCACCCCCTCTGTCCCCGCACCCCCTCCTCAGTCCCCGCACCCCCTCCTCAGCCCCTCTCTGTCCCCTCCTCAGTCCCCGCACCCCCTCCTCAGCCCCTTTCTGTCCCCTCCTCAGTCCCTCTCTGTCCCCTCCTCAGTCCCGGCACCCCCTCTGTCCCCGCACCCCCTTCTCAGTCCCCGCACCCCCTCCTCAGCCCCTCTCTGTCCCCTCCTCAGTCCCCGCACCCCCTCTGTCCCCGCACCCCCTCCTCAGTCCCCGAACCCCCTCCTCAGTCCCTCTCTGTCCCCTCCTCAGTCCCCGCACCCCCTCCTCAGTCCCCGCACCCCCACCTCAGTCCCCGCACCCCCTCCTCAGTCCCCGCACCCCCACCTCAGTCCCCGCACCCCCTCCTCAGTCCCCGCACCCCCACCTCTGTCCCCGCACCCCCACCTCAGTCCCGGCACCCCCTCCTCAGTCCCCGCACCCCCACCTCAGTCCCCGCACCCCCTCCTCAGTCCCCGCACCCCCTCCTCAGTCCCCGCACCCCCACCTCAGTCCCCGCACCCCCTCCTCTGTTCCCAGCATCCCCTCCTCAGTCCCTCTCTGTCCCCCTCCTCAGTCCCCGCACCCCCTCCTCATTCCCGGCACCCCCTCCTCAGTCCCCGCACCCCCACCTCTGTCTCCGCACCCCCTCCTCAGTCCCCTCTGTCCCCCCTTCTCTGTCCCCCTCCTCAGTCCCCTCTGTCCCCCCTTCTCTGTCCCCCTCCTCAGTGCCCGCACCCCTCCTCTGTCCCTCTCCTCCATTCGGCTCCCCTCTCCTCTCTACCTGCTTCCCCTTCTTTGCCCCCAGCGCCCCCTGCAGCCGGGTCTCTGCCGGTCACTGCCCGTCCCTGCTGTCCCTCTGAACCGGGCAGTCAAGCCCCAGCTGCCCTCCGCGCCCCTGCAGGTCCACCCCCGCCCCCGGGTCTTCTGGGAGAAGGAGCACTGGTCGTGGCCAGTGTCCTGGAGGCTGAGGCCCAGGCGGCCATGGGCCCTAGGGCTGAGGGCTGCGCCTCCTGGGGGGGAGGGGGGGAGGAGTGGGTGCCTCTGTGCACCCCTGGAGCGATGGCAGAGCCCGGCCCTGCGCGGCACCTGCTGGGAGCCAGCGTTGCACACCTGGTGTGAGTGTACGTACAGCGTTTCATCCCTGGTGTGAGTGTACGTACAGGGTTCACACCTGGTGTGAGTGTACGTACAGGGTTCACACCTGGTGTGAGTGTACGTACAGCGTTCACACCTGGTGTGAGTGTACGTACAGGGTTCACACCTGGTGTGAGTGTACGTACAGCGTTTCATCCCTGGTGTGAGTGTACGTACAGGGTTCACACCTGGTGTGAGTGTACGTACAGGGTTCACACCTGGTGTGAGTGTACGTACAGCATTCACACCTGGTGTGAGTGTACGTACAGCGTTTCATCCCTGGTGTGAGTGCACGCACAGCGTTTCACACCTGGTGTGAGTGCACGCACAGCGTTTCACATCTGGTGCGAGTGTACGTACAGTGTTCACACCTGGTGTGAGTGTACATACAGGGTTCCATACCTGGTGTGAGTGCACATACAGCGTTTCATCCCTGGTGTGAGTGCACATACAGCGTTTCATCCCTGGTGTGAGTGCACATACAGCGTTTCATCCCTGGTGTGAGTGTATGTACAGCATTTCATACCTGGTGTGAGTGTACATACAGGGTTCACACCTGGTGTGAGTGTACATACAGGGTTTCATCCCTGGTGTGAGTGCACGAACAGCATTTTACACCTGGTGTGAGTGCACAGGCAGCAGCAAAAGCCTGCGGCGGGCTGGCGGGACGTGGGAGGCGGTGTGCCAGGTGGCAGGCGTCCTGCAGTCTCGTTAGGTCCAGGAGTGGTCCTTCTGCCCAGGACCAGAGTGGCCGCCGAAGCAGGGAGTGTGGACGCCAGCCCAGGGCCCGGTTGTCCGCAGTTCCATCCAGCGTTGGGATTGCTGGGACACTGGGTGTCTGGATAAAGAGGACGGAGTTGAGCTGCGGCCTAGTCCCAGGCAGGTGACAACGTGTGCGTTCTTTCCATCCTAGTGCGGCACATGCTTCAGTTCTCACAGGGGCGGTGCCTTGCGGGAGGATATGGTGGCTAAGGTTCTCGTGGATGAAGGAGCAGCCTGGTCTAATCCAGTAAATGGAAGGATTAGCCCTGCTGCCGCCCGCCACGCCAGCCTGTATCTGCGAGGCTCAGGGCAGGGGGAGCCCGGGCCCGTTTTCCTGGTACCGTCAGACCGAGAGGCGGAGAGGACGGGCCGGTGCGGGGGCGCGGAAGGGGATGGCAGCGGGGAAGACAGGGCTCGTACATTCCGAATCAAAGTAAGATCCGTCACTTCTTGGCTTTTTTGTTTGTTTTGGGGGTGGGAGGGGGTGGAGGAGGGAGGTGTTTTTCATCTAATTCTTAGGGAAAGCCTGTGGAGCCAGCTTTTCTAAGGGGAGAAAGTTCTCACCTGTGGCAGTCACACTCTGGCTGTTAACGGCTCCTTCGCTCCCTCGCTCGCGGGCTGCCGCCGGCTGGGGTGAGGCCGGAAGAAGCCGAGTCTGGGGATGCGGGTGCTTGGCCGCTGCTTGTCCTGGGCTCCTCGCGCTGGCTCGTGGAGCACGGGCCGCAGGCCAGGCAGGCCCAGGCGCAGTCCCGTTGCCACTTCCCGAGAGGCCTCACAGCGGTTCCGAGCAGCAGAGAGTCAGATTGTTTGGCAGCGGCTGTCCCTCTGCTGCTTGGTGGACAGTCATCCTCACTCCACTAGGCAAGGAGGTTTCGTGATGTCAGTTTACAGACGAGGAAACTGAGGCTTCGGGAGTCTTGGTGCCTTTCTTTTTGATATTTACTTGGTGGAGAATAGTAGTAATTTATTAGTCACTGGAGGCCCGATGCACGAAATTCCTGCAAGAGTAGGCCTTCCTCCCCCCTGGTGCTGGCTTCCCTCCGGCCTCTGGCAGGCACCTGGGGCCGGGGCTTCCCTCACAGCCTGGCTTTGTCTGGAAGGACGTCAGGTCTAGTTAGCATGTTATGCTCTTATTATTATAGACTAGAGGCCTGGTGCAGAAATTTGTGCACCTTAGGCCTGGCGGGTGATCAGGGCCAGCTGGGGACCCTCCTTCCCCGGCTGCCAGCTGCCAGCTGGGGTCTTCCTTCATTCCATGCCGCCCCCTCGTGGTTATCGCACTTCATAGCGAGCAGTTGAACTCCCAGTTGGTTGAACTCCCAAGGGGACGATTTGCATGTTAGCGTTTTGTTAGATAGGATTGTTAACAAGTCAGCATCACTGTGTATTCTGTTTGTGATTCCCAGAAGCAGGGCTCTCTGTGAGTGTGACTGGGGGAGGTGCCACCTGCCTGCTGCACACACACACACACACACACACACACCCGCTGTCTGTCTGTCCCGCTGCTGTACTGGTCTCTCTGACATTCAGCGGCTTGGGGGCATGTCGCCTTCTGTGCCTCTCACTTTTCTGGCACATCAGTTGGGCTCCCAGGTAACCCTGGGCAACGGGGCTGTGGGCCCTGGACTCCCTGAAGGGCTCAAGGGCAAGCGGCGGGGCAGGCACCACGGGAGGGCAGCCGGGGGACAAGTTCCTGGGGAGGGTCCCGTGACCGCCCTTGTCTTCCTCCAGAGCGGCGTGGCCATGGAGGACCTGGGGGAGAACACCACGGTCCTGTCCTCCTTGAGGTCCTTGAACAACTTCATCTCCCAGCGCGTGGACGGAGGAGCGGGCCTGGACGCCTCGGCCCCGGGGTTCCTGCAGATGCAGTACCAGCAGAGCATGCAGGTGAGTGTCGTGGGGAGCGGCGTCTCTGGCTGCAGACACCTGTCCTGCGTGTCCTCCCTGCCGTTCGGGGGAGTGCCCTGCGTCGGGCCGGGTCTCCTAAGGAAAGCCTGCCCTCAGGCAGGCGGGGCCGGTTCCTCAGATGTCGGCCCTCGCACACCGGTGCACACCGTTGTTCCGGTGGATGAGACGCCATGGGAACGTGACTTGTTTGCGGTGAGATCGTTCCTTACATGTCGTTTTGCTGAAAGTCTTGGGACCCATGGCCACCGCTGACGCTAAGTGGGCACTTCCTGTCGCTGCGCAGGTCCCTGTCTCTCCCGGGCCTCTGACGTGGCGGTCAGAGTTTGGGGAGGAAGCGGGCGGGAAGCAGGGTCTGGCCCTGACCGTCCTGGTTGACAGCCTGGTCGGTCCGCAGCGCAGAGCGGGCTGGTGCGCAGCGTGTGCTCACGGTAATGAGCTCACAGGCCTCGTGGTGGGTTGGAGAGCTGTCTGTCCATTTAACTGAGGAAAACCCACCTGCCTGGGCAGTGGCCACCCAGTGAGCAGTGGCTGGCTCCCTGGAAGGTGGACGCTGGGAAGGGAGGCTGTGCGGTGACACAGGTCCTCGGTGGCAGTCAGCACTGTCTCTGGACAGTGTCCAGTGTCCCTGGTTGAAATAAGAACCACTTGCTCTAGCCCAGTGCTTCTCCAATTCTAACGTGCATGTGAGTCCCTGAGAGTGCGTGTCAGAGGGCGATTCTGACCGGGTGTTTCTGGGGGCACCCAAGACTCGGCATGGCTGTTGAGTGTCCAGGAGGCGCTGTGTGCTGGACTGCAGGCCGTTCTGGAGTGGTCAGGGGCAGCCCGCCTGGAGAAGAGGCCCTTAGAGGTAGTGATTCTTTGAAACCATTGGGTGTGTCTTCTGAATCCCTTCAAGGCTTTAACGCACCTCTGTGGGCCTGCCATCTGTGGGAGGCAGGCTTCTAAGGTGGTCCTTGGTGGGCCCATCTGATCCAACACTAAGCAGGGAGCAGGGTTGTGGCAACGAGACTTGCAAATGTGATTAAGATCTCAGGTCAGTGGACCAAGGTGAGCCTGTGCAGTGTGGCTGGGCGATGAGACCTGAGCCCAGAGGTGCAGAGCAGGAGAGCGATCCCCGTGGGCGACTTCCTGGTGGAGCTGGAGAGGCCATGTGGCAGGACCTGTGGGTGGCCTCCTATGGTGACAGTGCCACAGCCATGTGCATGTGGAAGAGGGTCCCGAGTCCAGATGAACACACAGCCCTACTGACTGTGTGGTCAGCTGTGTGCCTGTTCTGACCTGCAGGACTGACTGATAGTCACGTTGCTGGTGTGTTACCCTGCTAGTTTGGTAATTTGTTACATGGCAACGGGAGGCTCTTTTCTTAATATACTCTCTTTTTAAAATTAAAACAAAACAAAACACAACATTTTTATTGGTTTCAGAGAAGAAGGGAGAAGGAGAGATAAATGGAAACATCATTATGAGAGAGAATCATTGATTGGTTGCCTTCTGGATTGAGTCTGAAAGCCGGGCATATGCCCTGACCGGGAATCGAACTGTGACCTAGTCCATAGGTTAATGCTCAACTACTGAGCCACACCAGCCAGGCTGCCCACTTTTTGGAAAGGAGCCCACACACTGTCATTTTAAACATACCTCTCTCTTCATCTCTCATCTTCTTTGCCCGTCACCCAACTTGGGATCCGGTGTCTCCCTTCTTCCCGGGGCTGGGTGTGGGCCGTGTTGGGAGTAGGTGCCCCAGTGGTGAGTGTTGCGTGAGCCACTGGCCTGTTGGACCCAGCAGCTGCTGAGGACTTTCTTTCCTTTGGCATGACCTGGCAAGCTGGAGGAGCGAGCAGAGCAGATCCGGTCCAAGTCTCACATCATCCAGGTGGAGCGGGAGAAGATGCAGATGCAGCTGAGCCACAAGAGGGCTCGTGTGGAGCTGGAGCGAGCGGCCAGCACCAGCGCCCGGAGCTATGAGGTGAGTGAGGTGGCCAGCTCCTGAGACCAGGGGAACTAGAGGCCCTGGCCTCAGCCATGCTCCCCTCCTCGCGGAGGCGTGCAGATGCCGGTGCTGCGGGCAGTCCTCGCCGCGGGCCTCCTGCCCCTCCCTCTGAAGGACTGGGACGAAGATCCGGCAGAAAGACCAGGTGGCGTGGGGTCACAGGCTTAGAAAGCCGCCAGGCTGCATAGGGGTCTTGGGCCCAGGCTGGGTCTTGCTTAAATAGTTATAGGGCCTCAGAGCAGGAGCCCCAGTCTCGGGGCTGTTGCATGTTGCCCTGGCTCTCCCATGGCAGGCTGGGAAAGCAGAGCTCCCTTACCTGGAGGCGCCAGGTCTTCCCCAGTGCTTCCTTGGCTCAGATAACAGCTCTTGCAGGGCTTTTCAGGGAGCGCTGTGTGGAGTGGAAATGCCACTGAGCTTCAGGCAGCGCACCCTGGCTCTGTGCTTTCCTGAGGGTGGGTGTCTGCTCCGCTCTTGCATACATGGCACATTTGTGCGCCTTCCCTGTCCCTTAAAAAATGGCTGGGGTCTGTGAGGATGTGCTGTGACTGGACAAGTTTGAACCCGGTGGGCAGGTCCTGGCTGTGGTGCACTGCGGGGGCTCAGTAGCCCAGAGATGTGGCCTGTGACTGGGGCACCTCGGCCTTGGCTTTAGCACTGGCCCAGGTGCTGCTCTGCGGGTGGGACGGACGTGATGTTCAGTTGTCCTAGGAGGGGCCATCTTGGGGAACCAGTGGGAAGCGGGAGGGAGAAGCTGTGGGAATCTTGCAAGTATTGGGGTAGGGAGGTGGCACAGGGCCATGGGCTGTGGGCGCTACGGGCGTGGTGGCACTGCTTGGCTCTCAGCGGACTGGGATGTGGAGCTGCTGGCATTTCTCTGGGCCCTGAGTCCCGTGAGCACAGGGCCTGTCCTGACTGCCCCGGACCCCCGGTGTCCGGAACCGGCTGTGGCACCTTAAAGGTGCTCGGGAACCACTTGAACAAATGAGGGGTGGCTTCGGGGTCACCAAACGTCTTGGGGAAATCCAAGGACAGGGCTGACTGAGCTTCATCCTGGGGCCCACACTGAGCACAGCCCCCGACGGGCTGAGGGTGACCTGAGGTATCGGAGTCCGTGGCTTTTAAATTGCTCCTTTGAGTCTTGGGCATCAACAGTAGTTTTTCAGGACTGTCACTGGCAGTGTGTGTGTGTGTGTGTGGGGGGGGGATTGGAGGTGGGTTGGGGCGGGGATAGGTGGGTGGGAATCTCAGCCCTCCCGCCTGGAAATAGCTTTTAGATGGTGAGATGCTGGTGTCTGAGGACCTGCCCGTGTGCACTCAGGCTGGCCGCCGAGTGGAGATGCCTAGCCTGTCTGTGGGGTGCAGCCAGAGCACCTTGCTGCTGACGGGGCAGGTGCCTTTGACGCAGGGCCTCCTCGGAAGGCAGCCTGGAGTACCTGGCGGTCTCTGGAGGAGCTCCTCAGCTCAGCTGTCTGGCCAGAGGTCTGAGGCCACCGTGTCTGCTCCCTGTAACCAGGCTCGTCCACCTTCTAGTCCTGCTTTCTGGTCCCTTGGCTTCTTAAGCTGAAAGGAACCACCTCCGTGGCCGGGTCAGCCTTTACGACACCAGGGATCATCAGAGGGAGGAGCCTTGGTTCCTCACACTCCTCACCAGCGCAGGCCACGCTGCCCTGAGGTCAATACAGGTGGCTCGGCAGGTTTGCGGGAGACAGGTGCCCTGGTGGGAGAGCGGCCCTGGGTCAGCTGCTCCTGCCGCAGGCCGCCTGTCCCGCCCGTGGCACATGCCGGCTGTTGTAACGGTAGCCTGTGTGCAGTCAGTGAACGCTGGGCTGCCAGAGCCCGGGGCTTCTTTCCCAGGTCAAGTCTGAGCACGGGTTTCACCCTCCTCTCCTCCCTGCAGGTGGGCTTCTGGACGGGGACGCTGGGGGACACACCTGAGAACCCCGGGGGTCCCTGGGCCAGAGCCCTGAACACAACTTTTTCCGGGCTCCTGCTGGGTGCTCTCTGGCCGGGGGCCTGGCCTGAGGGAGGCCGGTGGGGCCGCCCTGCCCTCACCGTGCTGACCAGGTCCTCCCTCTGGCAGCGTGAGGTGGACCGCAACCAGGAGCTCCTGACCCGGATTCGGCAGCTCCAGGACCGGGAGGCGGAGGCGGAGGAGAAGATGAAGGAGCAGCTGGAGCACAACCGGCAGTGCAAGCAGAGCCTGGACGCCGCCAACAAGCGGCTGCGGGAGAAGGAGGATGGCCTGGCCGAGGCCGGCGAGGTGAGGGCCGTTTGGGGCTTTAGTTCTGTGCTCTAGTTCTTCCCTTTGTCGTCACAGCAGAGCCGCCGGCTTTCCGTTCTGTGCTTGTCAGCGACTCGGTGAGCACCTTTCAGTCTGCAGTCACGATGACTAGTGGTCGGTGGGACTGTTTCTTGTCGGTTTCAGATGCTTTTTACACACACCCTGTACCCGGACACGTGTGAGGCAGAGAGCTGTGTGCCTGCCACTGTTTGCTGCCTTTGAATGTTTCATTGGAGTCACTCCTCGCAGGGGGTTGAGGGCCCCAGGCGCAGTGGTCCCTGCGCTCGTGCTGCACCATGCCGCCCTGTGCCGCCCTGTGCCGCCCTGTGCCGCCCTGTGCCGCCCTGGGCCGCGGGTTCTTGTTCCACTGGGTCTCACCTGGGATGGGGTGCAGTTTTCTGGAAACTCTTGTGTATCAGGTGTACCGGTTAATAATATGGATTTTTTAATCAAAGAAAACATAATTTCAAGAATAAAGCATTCAAAGTACTTTATTCAAAGTAATGTCCATTGCTAGCTACACATTTCCCATCTTTTAGGTAATGTGTGGGTACCGTCCCAATAGAACTTTAATTGTTTTTGAGACAAATCATTCAGAGACCCAATTTTCCACTTCTTTGTATGTTTTGAAATGCTGCTCAGAAAGTGTGTGTGCCATCAACCGGAACAAATGGTCATCTGCATGAGTGGGGTCCGGCCAGCCTGGCCAGGGGCAGGGGACATGGGTGGTTGGCCGGCCTGCCTGCTGGTCGAGGGGACAATTTGCATATTAGCCTTTTATTATATAGGATGTACACTGAGTAGCCAGATTATTATGCATTTGGAGATCATAATAATCTGGCCACTCATGTATATTAACATATGTGTAACTCCATCTATTGAAAAAAATCGGCATTATTAACTGGTACACTGGTATGTTTCATTTTGTTTCCCCCCAGAAGGTGTAGGTAGTTGCCTCTGGGTTTGTATTTCTTTGATTGTCAGTGTGTGTGTGTGTATGTCTGCGTGTGTGTGTGTGCCTGCATGTCTGCGTGTGTGTATCATCGTGTGTGTGTGTGTGTGTGTGTGTGTGTGTGTCTGCGTGTGTGTCTCTCTCTCTCTCTCTTTTTCTTTCTCTTTCTCTCTCTCTCTCAGCATCTGAGAGCACCTTTGAAACCAGAGCACCAGTTAACTGTAGTGTCCTTTCATCTCCATCAAGTGAAGGCTGTCTCCATTTTAGAAACAGCCCAAGCATTGATGCTGGTGAAAATTGGACTCCTCTGACCTTTCCGGTCCCTTCGCTGTGCTGCTCAGGATCACAGGCTGCGAGGAAGGAGAGGAAACACTGGGGGCGGGGGGGAGGGAGGCAGGGAAGTGGCATGGAACATGGGTGCTCTGTCTCCATGGCAGCTTTGGAAGCCCGGGCTTTTCTAGCCCTGGCCACCCTGGAGAACATGTTAAGGATGTGTGCACATCTGTCTTCTGACACGGATGTTGGCAGGAGAGGGGGAGGGGATCTGCCTCAGGAAGGGTCTCTTCCTGCCCTTGCTGTGCTTCCCTGTCCTCCCCTCCCCTCCCCTCCTGCTGGCTTCTGGAGGCAGGTGTGGGGGTCTCCAGGGAGGCAAGTACTGCATGCCCTCAGGGACGGGCAAGAGGGGGAGACCCTTACCACAGAAGGTGTGAAGTGGATGCCACATGGGGCCCACGTGGGAAGGGGTATGGCCAGTTGGGACGCAGGACCACGCAGGTCGCTTCTCTTACTCTTCGCCTCCTCCGAGGAGCCTTCCCAGTCCCAGCCACTGCCTTCTCTTGTCTCGGTGCCCTGGGTCCTGTGCTCGCCACTCCCCAGCACCTCCTGATGGCCTGGCTCACCCACAGCACCCACCCGGCTCGCCCACTCACCTGTCTGACCCTGGTGCCCACACGGTGCCATGCCTGTTCACTGTTCCCTGTTGAGCTTATTTTTAGTCCCTTCGTTCTGTGTGGCTCCCGGACTGGTAGTCGCTGTTGTAACAGCAAACCATGCCTATCAGTGGAGCGGGGACGCCGGCCTGTGTCGCCCCGTCAGCCTTCGGATGGGCGGGGGGAGGTGCTGCTGATCCTCTGAGCAGTCCCGGTGCCTGGTGAACGCGTGCGGGACCTCCTTGTCTGCAGGGTGCCCCAGGGACTGCCAGGTGTCGCCCTCTGTGCTGAGCTGTCAGCTCCTTCTCTTGCCCTCTTGTAGGACCCCTCGGGTTGATGGCTGGCTCCCAGGCCTGGCAGCGCTCCAGTTGCCACGGCATTCTGGCAGCCCCCATTCGTGTGACGTTTGTGGTGTCATTTTGAGGGCAGCCTCAGTCCCCCATGTCCAGTGTCTTGGGGGCACCTGGCTGTGGCTCCCAGTGGCTTCTTCAGCATAGTGGGTGATGGCTCGTTGCGTTAGGGAAGGAGCTCCAGGTGGGGAGGGGGCAGGGTGTGCAGGGAGGGCTGTGCAGAGCACACCAGGGACTGGGGAGGGTGTGAGGTGATGGGGTGTGGTGTGTGGATGCTTCGTGGGAAGGGCTGTCATGGGGGTGTGAGGCTGGGGCCTGTCATGGCGGGCAGCAGTCTTTGCTCCTGACGCTGTTGCTATGTGACCCAGCCTCTCCTGTGGGCTCCTGGGAGACTCACGGTTGGCTTGGCGGGTGCTCTGGGGCTTCTGGTCACTCCTCTGAAGGAGCAGGTGGCTCTGCCCCTGTCTCGGGAGTGGGGTGGGAGGCCAGGCTCTGAGGGCCTCGGACCTCTTCTCTGCGGGTGGCTGCCGGCACCCACGTGCCGTGGCCTCAGGAGACGCTGTGCTCTCCCGCTCAGACCATCAGCGAGTTGAAGGGCAGGGTCTCAGAGCTGCAGTGGACCGTGATGAACCAGGAGATGCAACTGAAGGGCCTGGAGTCCGAGAAGCAGGAGCTGCAGGAACAGCTGGAGCTGCAGCTCAGGTGAGTGTGTGTGGCGCCTGCGCCCCTGCCGCTGTGGGCAGGGCTGAGCCGGGTGCCCGAGGTGAACTGTGTGGATGATACAGGCTTGCCCTGCACCCTCTACGGGTGCAACCAGCCTCCACGGGTGGTGCGGGTCCCAGAGCCCCAAGGCTCCTGGGGACAGACCCTGAGGCCTCTGAGGTCAGGGCCACATACAGTGTCAGAACAGAGTGTCATTTCCAGTGTCCTGAGGATGAGGAGGGAGTAGCCACAGAGGGAACTTTGGAGAAGATGTTGCATTGGAGCTCGTTTTTTGTTTTTTGTTTTTTCCAGAGAGGAAGGGAAAGGGAGAGAGAGATGGAAACATCAATGATGAGAGAGAATTATTGGTGGGCTGCCTCCTGCACGCCCCCCACTGGGGATCGAGCCCATAACCCGGGCACATGCCCTGACCTGGAATTGAACCCTGACCTCCTGGTTCATAGGTTGAGCTCAGTGTTAAAGGCCACGGTGGACATCTGCAGCTGGTGGGAGGCGGATGGTAAAGGACATTCCCAGCAGACGGCTTTCTGAGCAAAGGCAGGAGAGGGAAAACTCACTGGAGGAGTTGGGGTCAGAGGCCTGAGACTCCTGAAGAATTTGGCCTTTGTCTTCGCAGATGTTGCTGAGGAGAGTTGTGGCCACTTGGCAGAGTCACAATCCACCAGGAGTGGGTCCCCATGGTGGCTGTGCGGGCCAGCAGCCAGAGCTGCCCTGTGAGCAGCTGAGGGCTGGAGAATGGGATGCTGCAGCGGAAGGGATCTGGCTGGTGGTCTGGGCTCCCCACCGAGCCTGTCCTAAGGAGACAGGTCCCCGAGGCACTGGCAGGGATTAGCATCCAGACTCGGCCTGTCCCTGAGGAGCGTGTGGGCAGTATATGTGTGCATGTATGTATGTGGACGTGTGTGTGTGTGCACGCATGCATGTGAGTGTGCGTACATATGTCTGCACTAAAGAGCTTTAGGGTAAGAGGACTGTTGAAGACCTGGGACATTATGGGTCCGGGACACTCCACTCTGTCCCTGTCATCACATACCACATTCTGCATGTGATCTACTTTTCTCTTCACAGAAAATGGCAGGAAGCTAATCAGAAGATCCAGGAACTCCAGGCTGGCCAGGAAGCCAGGGCGGAGCAGGAGCAGAAAATCAAGGTGAGTTGCTCCGTTTCAGTCCCTGGACCATGTCGTAGGTGTCCCAGTGGTGGTTCAGCCCCTTTTCCGCCCGTAGGTGTTTCTGCTCTGGGACAGTGGCTGTCGCGCCCCGGTGCCATTTACAATGACCGTCTTCTCGTGTGCCAGGCTGTGCTAGCTGCAGGGATCCACAGGGAAGAGACACGCTCACTCCCAGGATGGGACACAGGAAGGAAGGGAACATGGGATAGTCAGGTGGTGTGAGCGGGAAGGGGATCCGTCACGGGGAGAGGTTGCCTGGCTCGTGGCTGGTGGGTCTCAGTGCAGGCGCCCGGCTCTGACATTCGGCTGTGCTGCTTCACTGAGGGAGGACCCTGCCAGGCAGACAGTGACGGCAGCCCCAGGGGGGCCGCTGCCGCCTGGAGAGTGACATCCACCCTCTGTGCCCCGCCCCCTGGTCTGCCTCCCGCTGACTCCCTGCTCTGTCCTGCCTGCTCCCTCCCCAGCTGTTCCGCTCCGTCAGCTCCTCACCTCCCTGCTCTGTCTGGTCTTTCACAAGCTGTTCTCTGTGGCTACTGTGCTTACCTGTCTCTCCTCCCAGCCTTCTTCCCACCCTCTCCACTTCATACATCCTCTTTTAAAAAAAAATATATATATATATCTTATTGATTTTTTTCAGAGAGGAAGGGAGAGGGATAGAGAGTTAGAAACATCAATGAGAGAGTAACATCCACCAGCTGCCTCTTGCACACCCCCTACCGGGGATGTGCCCACAACCAAGGTACATGCCCTTGACCGGAATTGAACCCGAGACCTTCCAGTCCGCAGACCGACGCTCTATCCACTGAACCAAACCGGTTTTGGTCCCACTACCTCTTTTTAAAAAAATATATATATTTTTACTAGAGACCCGGTGTGCGAAATTCATGCACTGAGGGGGGGGTCCCCTCAGTCTGGCCTGTGCCCCCTCGCAGTTTGGGAGTCTGGGGGATGTTTGACTGATAGCTTAGGCCCACTCAGCCATCAGGCGGACATCCTTAGCATTGTCCCGGAGGCCGGAGGGCTCCCACACTGCCATTGTGCTCACCAGCCCGAGCCCGGCTTCTGGCTGAGCGGTGCTCCCCTCTGGGAGTGCGCTGACCACCAGGGGGCAGCTCCTGCGTTCAGTGTCTGCCCCCTGGGAGTCAGTGCACATCATAGTGACTGGCCATTCCACCATTCGCTCATTTGCATAGTAGCCTTTTATTATGTGGGATATGCTGCAGATAAGGCCCACGAGAACCATAAGAAATGCACAGAGAGGCCCCGGCGTGTTGGTGTTTGCTGAATGGCTGACTGATGTGGTCCTGGTCTCAGACTTGTAGCTGTGTTGTGACTTGTCCCTCATGTGCCAGCTGTCTCCGTGTGTCCTGAGGGACTGGAGATGGTGAGGAGGGCGTCCTCCGTGGAAGGACGCGGTTACCTGTGTCAGAGCAGCAGGAGCAGGCCGCACGGGGAGTGGTTGTTCTACTGGTGTGTGTTCAGGGCTTTGCTGAGTGTCCTTGGGCCTGACCTGTCTTAGGCTCCTGCCTCGGAGGGCAGCACAGCCCAGCACGGCACTGGCCTGGGGTGAATTGTGGGCACTTCCCGGGGTGAACGTGGAGCCCCAGCACAGAGGCAGGCCAGGCAGGCAGGGAGGCTTTCCAGAGAAGGGGACTGGGTCACGGAGGTCACTGAAGACCTGGGGCAGTATGGTCCATGACGTTCTCCCTCTGTCCCTGCCTCAACCAGGATTTGGAGCAGAAGCTGTTCCTGCAGGAGCAGGATTCTGCGATTGTGAAGAACATGAAATCGGAGCTGGTGCGGTTGCCCAAGATGGAGCTGGAGCTGAAGCAGCTGAAGGAGGAAAATGCCTACCTGCGGTGAGTCAGGCGCAGGCGGTGGGGCCAAGGGCTGTGGGGGCGGGCGCAGGCCGTGGGGCGGGTGCAGGGTGGGACGGGTGTAGGAGGTGGGTGGTAGCCTCCATGGGTTAGTTCTCAGGGGTTCCGGTGTGCAGCCCAGTGCTCCTGGGCTCCTGGGCTCGTCCCCAGGCCACATGGCGTGTGAGTGACTTTACCTCTGCCCCTCAGGGAGATGCGAGAAACCAACGGGCTGCTCAGGGAAGAAGTGGAGGGGCTGCAGCGGAAGCTGAGCCGTCAGGAGAAGATGCAGGAAAACTTGGTTGACCTGGAGCTGGAGAAGGAGGTGAGGGCCTGAGCTACTTCCTGGGGGAGGCCTGGCTGCTGGGGGAGTCTGGCCGCTGTGCTGGTGTGGCGGTCAGACTGCTGGTTCTAAGATGGCCCTATCCTGACCCCCAGAATGGCGAGTCTTCCCCTAGGTGGTAGAGGGGACTAAGGGTGCTGGCCAGGTGGCCAGTGTGGCCACAGGGACTTGTGTGGGCAAGAGGAAGCTGAGGAGGTTGGCGCGATTGTCAGGATTCACCTGCCCACTGCTGGTGGCACTGCAAATGGAGGAAGTGGCCATGAGCCAAGGACTGTAGGCGCCTCTGGGAGTTGGAAAAGGAGGAGTGGATTCTTTCCTGAGAACCTCCTGCTGCCACCTGGATTGTAGCCCAGTGAGGCCTGGGCTCAGACTAGTGAACTACTGGCTCTGAGGTCGTCCATCTGTGCAGGTCTGAGCCACCGTAGTAACGGGAACCCTGACACAGATGGTGTCTGAAAGGAAGGTTGTTGGCTTGTGAGATGTGGAAGGAACTTGCAGGCACCTGTGCTGAGTATTCTCCCTGTGTCCGCTGTCAGGATCACAGGTGGCGTTTGTGAGACAATGGAAGTTGTCGGTGCTGAAAACATGCCAGTCCTGTGGGACTGAGGTTCCCAGAAACTGTGTTGTCCAGTGCTCATGAGTTTGGAGCAAAACTTAGGCCTCTGGCTCCTGCCCCTGCCCAGGTCGTTCTGTCCCGCCTGCTTCCCGTGGCGGCACTCTGTCGCCCACCTCTCTGGTTTGCCGGCACAAATGGTGCCACCACTGCCCAGGCTCCAGAGGGTGAGAATGGTGTGGTGCTGTCCCCTCAGTCCCAGACCACTGAGTCTTGCTGGGCCCATGGGAGTCCGGGCCAGCCGAGGCATCCCGAGGGCTGGGCAGAGCGCACTTGGCCTGAAAAGACAGCTCTGGAGCTGAGCAGTTTCTTCTCTGGACAGAGTTTATTTTGAAATTGGTTAAGATTTTGGCTCTAGAATCACACGCCTAGTTTAAACCTTCCATGCAAGCTTGCTAGCTGTGTGATCCTGGGCAAGTTACTTAACCTCTCTGTTCATCTGTACGATGAGGAATAACCGTGTTGGCTGTGGGGCTGAAAGTGCTAGCCAAGCCACACCTGGCACTAGTAGGGGCTCGGGATACCTGAGTGATGGAGGGAATGCACTCAGAGCCCTGTGCTTGGCTCCAGGTGCAGGTGGCAGGTCAGAGGCCTGGGTCCGCCCTCACGATGGTTACATTTGTGAGAAGCAGCTGGGTGAAACACAGGGCAGGCCAGCCTGTGGGGGTGCTGGGCAGGGGAGGTGCCACCACCACCTCCTGGCTCCCTCCGCTGTGGGGCCGTGGGGCCTGGCGATGTCGGGGAGGGGTTTGGTTCTAGGGCTTAGTTCGTCTGCCCTGTGGCTGGGGGTCCTGAGAGCCCCTGAAAGATGGAGTGAGGCAGCAGGGCTTGTGGGCTCAGCCAATTGCAGGACCACCAGCAGGCCGTCCCCCGGCCCTGGCTCTCACCGCCGGCTCCGACATGACGAGTGAAGCATGCAGTGGAGTCAGTGATTGGGAAGCAGCCGTCTGGTTTGGAGCAGGGGTGGCGCGCTTCTGGTTTAGCTCGGGCCAAGGGCAGGGCCCTCTGGAGCGGGAGTGGGACCTCTCCTCTGCCAAGGCCATTGGGTGTTTATCACATCACTCGCCGCCACATCCAATGACCAGCTTAGGAATCACGTTGGTCTGCAAAAGCTCCCAGACTTACTGAACTCTGAGTCCCGCCTGCGGTTGCCGAGGCAGGGCAGCCCAGCGCAGCAGCCTCGGGCGGACGTCCCACCCTGCTCTGAGGAGGGAGGCAGTTGGTGTGGAAATCAGTGGGCGCTGGGCGTGGGGTGAAGGGAGAGCAGGAGGGCTGGGAAGCCCTTGCAGAGGAGATGGTGGGGACCTGGTGCTCTGGGTTCTACCCTCTGTGTCTTTGCAGAGGCTGCTGGCGAAGCTGCAGAGCTGGGAGCGACTGGACCAGAGCACGGGCTTGAGCATCAGGTAGGCGGAGGAGGCTGGCACCCGTGTCCCCTTCTCGGTGCAGCTAGCGCCTTTGGCAGGCGGGCCCAGCCTCCCACCCCTTTCCAGCAGAGGCCCTGCAGCAGCAGCTCAGGAAGTCGGTGCCCCTCCCTGCCAGGTCTTCATAGCATCCTCACGTGGAAACGAGGCGGGGTGGGGCTGGACACCGGGGTGGCTTAGCTGACCAGGCTGCTCACCATGGCCATGTGTGACGTCTGCCCTTGGCACTGCCCTCACGTGCTGCGCCTTCTTCCCCCTCTCACCCTGGCCCCACCCGTGTCCTGCTGAGAACCAGCAAGCTCCCAGCGTGTGATCCAGTGTTCGCAGTAAATGGTTTAGGCTGAAACAAGTCTGGGTACGCACAGCCAGGAGGGGCAGGTGTTTGGCCTGCATTGTGAGGCTGGATTGAGGGACTTTCTCTTTTACGGACTGAGGACGTGGTTGTTTCTGGGAGCTCAGTCCTGTTAGGTGCTCGTGGTGAGGGGCAGTGGGCTGAGTGTTCAGGGTGAGAAGGAAAACACGGTGACAGAGGGTTGTTGTCCAGTCAGGCCCTTGCGGCTTCCCCTCCTTGTCGGTGGACCTAGTGCCTGCCAGCAGGTGTGGCAGGAGGTAAAGTGGCAACTGCTGGGGCTGTGGGGTGGCCCTCTTGGGCACAGCTTGAGGGGCCGAGCTGGGCCTGGTCCTCTGGTGGGCAGGACGGCATCTTTACCCCAGCTGTCCTTCCTCCAGCCTTGCTCTGCTACTGCTGCCCGGGTCCTGGCACCCCAGACCACCAGCTCAGCAGCCCTGTCTGCCTCGCTGCCCCCTTTTGGGAGGGGGGGGGGCGGTGGCGGACGGCAGAAGGCTGGTCATCTGGATTGTCTGCTGCCCGGGCAGGACCTGTGGTGTTAGGGAGCCTCGTGCTGTGCACCTGCTGCATGGTCTGCGGCCTTAGTTTCCCAGTGTCTCCTGGAGGCTGGCCGAGGGCGGAGCCTGTTAGCTGCCTGTGATTGCCAGGGATCGCTGCTCTCAGCCGCTGCTGCTCCCGCTGGCATGACGGGCTCCAGCTGTCCACCCCTCGCAGGTCTCCTCGTTTTCCTTTCGTCTCTGAGTCAGAGCACAGACGGGGCTGCTGTTTCCTCTTGAACTCCACCTGCAGGACTCATACTCACAGAGGGCTGCCCAGCAGGGCCCACGTGTCTCATGCTTCCTCCTGTTCTCTGGCTTATTAACTCACCCGAAAGCTCCCCTCCTGCCTCAGGCACACTCGTCAGGAGAGAAACCTCCGTGACTTCTCTCTTGTGCGGGAGATCAGAGGCCCTGGCGGCGGGTGACACCAGCCTGCTGAGCGCCCAGCGGGCCTCGGCCGCAGCGTCAGGCCCAGGCTGCGCACCGCCGCGCATTGGCCAGGTGTTCAGGGCTCCATGGCCAGGAGGGAAGGGCAGCCGCTCCCTGCTCCTATCGGCCCAGTTTTCCCCTCGCTGGGAAGGGAATGCAGTGCTTGCTCCTGGTGCTCCTGGGGTTAAAGACCGTGCCTTAGAGCTGCCTGCACCTGGGAGGCTGCCTTCCGGAGGCAGGAGATCCTCCCCGCGGGAGGCCTGGTGCTCTCTCCCTGCTCTGGTTGTTGTGTCTGGGCCACCTCTGGGCCCCTCGGGGACCTCTGCTCCTCACCTCCCTGTCCCCACTTGGGGGGCAGGCCTTCACCCCCTCGGTGTGCGCCCCACTGGAGTGGGTCTGTTGTCGTGGAGCAGGCGGTGGCCTCAGAGCCGTGCTGTGGGGATTCCGTCACCACAGCCACCTGGGAGTTTGGCACAAATGCAGACTCCTGGGCTGAACCGGCCCAGCGGTCAGCCTGTCCACGTGCTAGACTTGAGTCTTGGGGTGACATTGAACGCTGTGAAGAGGGGCTGGCCATCTTTTTGCTACTTTTGGGCACTTAGAGTCTGAGCAGGGAGCCGTTATTGATGGCACTGAGTGTGGAGGTGGAAATGGCAGCGGGACACACGGGTCCCTGCAGGAGGGGTCCGAGGGGAGACCGGCCCTGTCTGGGAGGTGTGTGCTGAGCGTGATGCCACCTGGTGGTGGGGGTGGGGTCACCCATGCGGGTTCCGTGTGCAGAGATGGAGCAGGGCTGCTCAGAGCCTGCAAAGGTGGGTGGATGTCTGTCTGGCCCGGGTTGGCCCCCATGTGTGGTGTGGTCTCTGTGCTGCTGCTCCCACATCCCTAATGGAAAGACTTTTCTAGAACATTGGGTTCCCAGAAAAGCTCATGGGTCTTTGAGAGTTTGATCAGTTCGCAGACTTTCTCATGACAACACATGTTTGCATGTGCACGCATAGACATGACTTTGCGTGCCAGTTTAGGACTCAATACTCTGAAGCATGATCAGCGGCTCTGCTGGCAGCAAGTTGGGGTTTGGGAGACGCCCCGAAGTAGAGATTCGAGAGGCTGGAAGGCATTTCAGCTCGGCCTGCTGGGCTTGAGTCTGTTTAGTTTTCCTGTGAAGGTGCTGTCATAATTTTGGGACTGAGACCACTCATTTGGGGCATGTCATGAGCCCAGGTTCTGGCCTGTGTCCAGTGCCTCTGTGGGTTTTTGAGAGCTGTCAACCCCTGCCCCTGCCCCGTCCCCTGTCCCCCCCCACCCCCCCTGCCCTGGAGCTGCCCTGAGTTTAGGCCTGCAGCTCCTCCTGACCCATTGCCAGCCCCCAAGCGACTTCCTTGCCAAAACCTGGTTTGGTTGTGTGGGAGTGGTGGGTGGTCTGCCATCTGACAGTTCCTGCCTGCCTTTGGGTGGCCACCGGTTCACTGTTGACTGTCCTATCTGCTCTGTTCTTTCTATGTTTTTAACATGTTCTTATTGATTTTAGAGAGAGAGGAAGGGAGAGGGAAAGAGAAACACTGATCTGTTGCCGCCCGCACCCAACCTGACGGGGGATTGAACCTGATCGGGAATCAAACCCGTGACCTTTTGGTGGATGGGACGATGCCCAGCCCATTGAGCCACTCCTCAGGGCCACCTGCTTTGTTCTTTTTTTTATTTTTATTTTTTATTAAGGTATTATATGTGTACATATCTTACCATTGTTTCCCCCACTCCCATATATGCCCTCCCTCCCCAGAGTTTTGTGTCCATTGGTTGTACTTATATGCATGCATACAAGTCCTTCGGTTGATCTCTTATCTCCCCAATATCTCCCTCCCCTCCCCGCTGTAATTTGACAGTCTATTTGTTGCTTTACTGTCTCTGTATCTATCTTTTTGTTCATCAGTTTATAATGTTCTTTATTATCCATAAATGAGTGAGGTCATGTGGTGTTTTTCTTTCATTGATTGGCTTATTTCACTCAGCATAATGTTCTCCAATTCCATCCAGGTTGCTGCAAATTATAAGAATTCCTTCTTTTTTATGGCAGAATAGTATTCCATTGTGTAGATGTACCATAGTTTTCTGATCCAATCATCTGCTGATGGGCACCTAGGCTGTTTCCAAATCTTAGCGACTGTAGATTGTGCTGCTATGAACATAGGGGCACCAGCTCTGTTCTTGGCCAGCTACTTGACACTCCTACACCCCTGGGGTCTGGAGTCTGAGTTCTGAGCGAGCCTTCTCCGCGTGGAGTGCCTCTGGACAGGACCACCCCCTTCTGGGTTTGCAGGGGCTCTGGGCCGCATGGGGGACAGATCACCTGGAGAGCCCACATCCCCAAGGCGTCCACGAAGAAATGTGCTCAGGTGGGCAGGACTGGTCACTCCCCTCTCACTTTGGGATTTCTTACATCCCGAGAGCCCAGAGGTGGGGTGGCGCGTTGGCTGGCGGGTAACCATGTTGACCTGGAGGGGACCCCCCATCTGCCAGAGCAGCTTGTCCGCCGTGAGGATGCCGACACCTGTCCCAACACCTGGCCGGGGCCAGGCAGGTGGGCCTCATCTTTGCCTCGGTGTGGGTGTGAGGGAATGGGCACAGGCCGCACCAGGTGGGTGCTGATGGGGAGGACGGAGGGAGTCTGGTATGGCGCTCTGTCCCAGGCTGTGAAGGGGCCTGCGGTATTCCGTGGCAGCAGTGCGGAGGGGACGGGTGTGGAGGGGGCGGCATGCGGCCTGTGAAGGGCTGGGCGGCACCTCGGAGCAGTGTGGGCTGTTGGGGAATGATTTGAAGGCGCTGGATGAAGGTGGGCACCAGGGGGCACTCTTTGACGTGTCTGTGCTACCTAGGCAGGATGCTTGGGGCACCGAGGAATGGAGTAACCGAGAGGCTGGTAGGCAAACGGAGGACAGTTCGCCGGAGTGAGGTGCTTGTCCTCGGGCGTTAGTGCACTCCCGTCGCCGTGGAAGAGGGGACGCCGGCCGCCTCAGAGGCACAGAAGCAGCATCTGAACGGCAGCCTATGGCGCCGAGGGCAGGTGCTGCCAGGCGAGCTGGGTGGGGCTGTGCTTCTGTGTGTGTGGGGGGGGCCCAGAGCAGTGCCGCGGGGGGTGGGGAGCGGGCAGGGCCCCGCTGGCAGAGGAAGAAGAAGCCTGACTGTGCTTGGAGGTGGCGAGGTATTGATGCAGGAAATCCCACAGAATCGATAAAAAGCCCCTGCCTACGTGAGCTTAGCAGGGTCACAGGACCCGAGGAAGCACGTACATTGATTCAGTTTCTGTGTCCTGGCAGCAGCACGGGGAAGTATACCCCATTACCCAGAAACACGCAGTCCTCGGGGATGAGTGCACACCGTCTGTAAGATCTGTTCCCTGACAACCGGAAGCGGTTGCTGAGAGAAATTACAGATAACCTAGCGGTAAGATAAGTGGAGGGATGCATTGATTCCGTGAGCTGGTCACTCAGCCTGTCAGGAGGTCAGTTTGCTGAAATGGCTCCACACGTGCCCCCAGTTAGAGTCCCAGCGGGCTTTTTGACAGAATCAACAAACCGAATCTGAAACTTGCAGAGAAACGACCAGGGACGGGAATGGCTCAGCATTCTGGAAAAGCACGGTGCAGGGCTCACAGCGGCTGGTTC